TCCCTTGCTCGAAAGCCAGTCGAATCCGACTCTAGGGTTGCGGTGCTCATCTCCGTTTCAAAGCCGAAGAGCCAGCGCTGTCCGAAGACGTTTCCGTGGTCATGTGGCCGGCATGACTAAACACCAAGGCGCACGGAACGCTGTTACCTTCCCACCAAAGTGGTACCTATTTATCTACTTGCAATTTCTTGCTTTCGAACTGCTAGGTTGGCAGGAGCTGGAACTAGAGACAGGAGCTCACTCTGTCATACGGCACCCCTGGGTCTCGAACTGCTGAACTACTGACCTTCCACAGCCTGCAGTTCAGCATCTTAACCACTTGAGCCACTGCAGCTCCATTAAGTGCACTATAGACCTTGTATATTCCAACACCTTCATCTATCAGGGTCAACATTCTCTATTCTGGCTGGCAGCTGCTCTCCAAGGTCTCATATTAGGGATGCCAGGCTACAGGTGGGACCTGGGGATCCCCGGCATTACAGTTCATCTCCAGATTACAAAGGTCAGTTCCCCTGGAGGAAACGGCTGCTTCGGAGGGTGGACTGTATGGCATTGGGCCCCTCTGAGGCCCCTGCCCTCCCCAAGTTCCACCCCCAAATCCCCAAGAGTTTCCCAACCTGGATTTGGCAACCCTACCACCCCATCCCCCACCGGTGCCCAGGGGGAACCCAGCAACCCTATCCCACAATGAGGTCTTTCACATCCGAAGAAGAAGAAGAGGAGGAGGAGACTGGATTTATACCCCACCATTCACTACCCAAAGGAGTCTCAGAGTGGCTTACAAACTCCTTTCCCTTCCCCTCCCCGCAACAGACACCCTGTGAGGTAGGTGGGGCTGAGAGAGCTGATAGCAGATAGATAGATAGATAGATAGATAGATAGATAGATAGATAGATAGAAGGAGAGAAGAAAAGAAGAAGATATTGGATTTATACCCCGCCCTTCACTACCCAAAGGTGTCTCAGAGCGGCTTACAAACTCCTCTCCCTTCCCCTCCCCACAACAGATACCCTGTGAGGTAGGTGGGGCTGAGAGAGCTCTTGACAGAAACTGCTCTTTTTCAAGAACAGCTCTTATCAGAACTACGGCTTGCCCAAGGCCATCCAGCCAGGTGCAAGTGGAGGAGTGGGGAATCATCCCGGTTCTCCCAGATTAGAGTCCGCGCACTCAACCACTACACCAAACCGGAGAGGCCAGAGATTGAACCCAGGACCTTTGACATGTGAAGCAAACACTGTCCCCCCTGAGCCACAGGGCCCTGAAGGATAAAAGTCAAGAGTGTGAGGGACTATGTGCCACGAGGATGAGACTATGACAACAGAGGTGGTGCTTAGTCCTCATCAGGATCTTGGGGAAAGTGTTTGCAAAAGTGTGCCTGCACATAAAAAGCTCATACCTTGAATAAACCTTTGTTGGTCTTAAAGGTGCCCCACTGGACTCTACATTTGTTTTCTCCTTTAGTTAATTTTCAAAGGTATTTTCTTTTGTATTCCCTGGGGGTGGCAGGATTTGGGATGCAAGAACTTCACCGCCGTGCTTGTTCCAGGTGACTACGTTAATTGGTTTAATACTGTGCAAAGGAGCATTCCAAAGCGCGTTTAAACTGCTCGGGGGTATTATTATTATTATTACACTTGCATACATCTGCAGAGAGGCAGGCCTCAAAGGGTCTCCTTTCCCGTTCTTGGGTACATTGACTTGGGGATATTTTGAAGCCGTCAGAAAAGCCTGCGTCTTCGACGTCTGTATTTAGTTAATGTGTTTTGGCTGCGTTTCGATGCATCCCCCTTGCGATGCGTGGGCAGCGCAAATTAAACCACGCACGAGCCCGTCTGTTTGTTGCCCAAGCAAATGAATGAAATGGCTGTTTCTTCTTCTTCTTCTTCAGATGACAGCCCTCCGCCCCCTGCTCCGTTTGAGCACCGCATCGTTAGCGTCAAGCAAACCGAGGTGTCTGCGGGCTATTTGATTTGCCATCATGAAGTCTTGGGAGGGTAAGTCTGGCTGCGATGCGGTTAGTCAAATGTTTTCCTGCGTCCAAAAGATTTGTAAGCAAGAACGGCTTGTTTTTAAACATTCCCTTCAAGCATCCGTAAGGGTGGGATTGCATCGGTTTTGCTCTTGAAACGGTTATTTCCAGATAACAGATTTGGGGTCCCCTTCGGTGGGCCAGTTTGGTGTAGTGGTTAAGTGTGCGGACTCTAATCTGGGAGAACCGGGTTTGATTCCCCACTCCTCCACTTGCACCTGCTGATGTGACCTTGGGTCAGTCACAAGCTCTGGCACAGCTGTTCCTGAAAGAGCAGTTTCTGCCAGGGTTCTCTCAGCCCCACCCACCTCACAGGGTGTCTGTTGTGGGGAGGGGAAGGGGAAGGAGTTTGTAAGCCGCTCTGAGACTCCAAGTGGAGGGCGGGGTATAAATCCAATCTCCTCCTCCTCCTCCTCTTTCTTGATTAGTTTGAGATTGAGAAGTTGAAGCCGTCAGATGTAAATGATGGTGGAAAGTGCATCAAATCGTAGCTGACTTATGGCAACCCCTGTGGGGTTTTCAAGGCAAGAGGCTAGCAGATGTGGTTTGCCGTTGCCTGCCCCTGCGTAGCGACCCTGGACTTCCTTGGTGGTCTCCCTTCCAAGTACTGATCAGGGCTGACCCTGCTTAGCTTCTGAGATCTGACGAGATCAGGCTAGCCTGGGCCCTCTAGGACAGGGCAAGACATAAATAGGCAGGGCCGGCTCACCCACTAGGCGAACTAGGCATTCGCCTAGAGCGCTGGGCCCTGGATGAGGGCGCCAAACTGTCCCCCCCAAGCCCGCGCGCACCCATTGCAGCACACCTTGAGGAGCTCCTCTTGCAGGAGGGCGGCCTCTGCCCCGCCCCCATGCTGTCACCCCATCGAGGCCAGGGACTCCTGCTACCGTCCTGTTTGGGGTCGAATTTCCTTTCCTCTCCACCTTCCCAAAGCTGGAGTCAGGCTGCACTCTCTCGTGCGGCCAGACGGCCCCCCTCTCTCCCTGCTCCAGGCGCACCCGGCTTATAAGCGCCTGCAGGTGGGCGGTGAGCGCCCAGCACCGAGAAAGGCGGCTCTCACATGTGGTTCAGCTGGACAGCTGGCTCACAAGGGGTGGCCATGAGCTGGCGCGCTGCTTCCCTTGGCTTGCCTGGGAGCGGCCGGTCCGCCCCTGAGGGGGAAAGCAGAAATGGGGCTGCGGGGGCAGCCATGTGAGCCCCCCTTCACCGCTGGGTACCTTCCCCGTGCTTTCGGGGCCGAAGCCACTGCAATGACCCCCCAAATCCACCTCACGTGCACCGCCCCCGTTCCCTTCCCACCCGGGCGCAGAATGAAAGAAGTCAGGTCGGGCTTTGCAAAGCTGCCCCGGTGGAAAACAAGTCACTTGGGGCCCCCTCCCCTCCTGCCCTGTCCTTTTTTATTTTAAATGCAGACTCACAGCATGTCACCGGGCGGGCAGCGCAGCCAGGCCCAGCATGGTGAGGAGGGCCAGCAGAGCGACGTTCTGGGGGTAGGAGAGGGCGGGCAAGGAGGCAGCCAGCTGGGAGGTGTTCAGGCCCCACCGGGAGGTTGGCATCTGCACTGAGGGGGTGCCACAAGACAGCCTCGCCTAGGGTGCAGAAACACCTCGAGCCGGCCCTGTAAATAGGCCTCTGCAAACCCTCCCTTCAGACAATAGTTCTTGGTTTCAAGGCATGGGGGGACCAGAGGCTTCCTGTCCCTCTCTTCTTCTAATGCCCGTGTTGATTAGTCATGGAAGAATTCACAAATCATTGCACAGGAAGACTTGAAAAATATCAGCACTCTCACCCGGAGAAGAGATTTTATGGGTATGAGGAGAAGGGTCAAAAGGCTTCGTTCAGAAATGCTGATCAAAGACCCTAGTTGGCAACTGGTTTGTCCTGAAGACCACTCTTGCAAAGGAGGTATAGGGAAATGAACAAAGACTTCAGCCCCGAAGCACTCTGTGAGAGAAGTCACACGAAGCCGCCTTATATTGATTCAGTCCATTGGTCCATCAGGATCAGTACTGTCTACTCAGACTGACAGTTCTCCAGGATCTCAGGCGGAGGTCTTTCGCATCATCTACAAGCTGATCCTTTTAACTGGAGAGGCCAGGGATCGAACCTGGGACCTTCTGCAGGCCAAACAGATGTTCTACCACTGAGCCACAGTCTTTCCTGATGCTGCCCATCCTATCCCCCCCATTTGTCTCCATGTCTGGTCAGGAGGCAAGGGTCACACTGCAAGGGCTTGGACTTGGCCCAGGAGTCTCTAATTATGAATAATTATCCCGGTGGCTCTTAAAGAATTTGTGTCTATGTGATGCTTTGGTTATCTGTCTGTCTATATCCATCCATCCATCCATCCATCCATCCATCCATCCATCC